CCTCAAAAGATGCGACCAGGGTTTGTAACCGGCGAGTCCCTACAAAATGGACGACTTGAAGTTAGAGCAAACGAGAGCAAGAGAGAAAAAAAGGTCATGGAATAAGAGGAGGGGAGCGTACCAGATTGGACAGCTTCACGGCGTGGAGAGGTCCGGGCTTTCCTTCGAGGGACTCCATATTCCTCAGTTGCAGCACCCGGTCGAGTTGGCTCCAGACCTCGTCTTTCGCCAACTCCTCCGACGATGCGCGGTCAGGATCCGTTGGGCCGGAGTACATCCACATCGGCTTCCTCCTCTCTGCCAGCAGGGCGACTCGACGGCGGAAGAAGGTGTGGAACACCCACAGCCCATCGAGGCCGTGCTGCACCAGCTTCTGGAGCTCTGCCTCGATGACCTCTAGCTTGTTCTGCCAACTGGAGGGACCCCACGACCAGCTCTTCCGCCTCTCTGGCCTTTTTTGGTGAACGGTGGGAACGGCGCCCCCGCTAGGTTCCTAATGTAGAACCACTCCCCATGCCACTCCCGATTGGAGTCGTAGGGGGAGTACACGAGGTAGGAGCCCGACAGCCTCGACTTCTTCTGTAAGGCAAAGACCCCAACCGGCGCGGTCCTGGGCAGCTTCCCCTCCGACAAGGCTCGCCCGGTGAAGATCCGCCGGAAGAGGTCCACGTGCGGCTCCATCCCGAGGAAGGCCTCATAGACGGTGACGAAGCCAGCAACATGCAGCACCCCAGTCGGATTGAGGTGCTGCAGCTCAAGGCCCCACTCATTGAGGAGCCTGCACAAGAACTAGTGCGTAGGATACCCTAACCCATGCTCGTGGAAGGCGAGGAAGGAGACAACCTCATCAGCCCGAGGTCACAGAACAGCCTCCCCCGACGTAGGAGCCCTCTAGTGCGCCACCTCCTTTGACGGAAGAAGCCCCTTCTTGGCGAAGGCGGCTAGCACCGCCTCATCTACATTGGATGGCCTCCAATTCGATATTATGCTCCGGATTCACGAAGGGATCTGTGAGTTCTCCTCTCCCTCGCTTTACCCTCTTTCTCCTAGGAACCGACATGGCGCGTGAATGGGCTAGGTGAAAAGGAAGAAGGAGGAGAGGCAGCAGTTGGAGAAAGGCGAAGGATTGGGGCGAAACCCCCTCTCCCTTCTCCTATTTAATACGGATAGGCATGCGATGGGACGCATCCTGACTGATGGGACGCGCTCTGCCCAACGAAACGATGTCTGGTTAGACGGGACATGGCCTAGGCATGGCCCACCACTACCGCATGCCGAGCGCAGGAAACAAGGCGCAACCGCATGCAAACGGCCCTCCGCCTTCCCAGGCAGGGCTTGAAAGGGCCCACCGATGGGATCTCCATCGAGGAAAGACCAACGGGCTTCCTGAGTCGATCGGACGGCTCAGGCGACTACCGAGAGACAGGTAAGGAGCAGTGGGACGCCCCATGTGGGCCATGTGGTCTCTGTCACGAACGACGAACACGGATCCCATTCGGACATATCCGATAAGAACTCCTCAAACCCATCACTCGAGTCATCAAGGTAACTTTACCAAACCCTCTTACTTTATTTTTTGATGCATGATCATTCATTCATCCATTCTCATACACGCATTCACACATTCATTCATACAATCATTCATTCATCCCATACATCCAAAGCATCACATATGCAATTAATGTATTACAACGCTTTGTGTTGCGTCACGAAGCGGTAGTTGCCTCATTCAACATGAGCAACAACCGACCAGGGTTCGAAGGCTGGCCCGCAGAGGGCTCGAGGCCGCCTCGTGTCAAACAGAGCCAGGGGAGAAAACGCAGATGAGCCCTAGCAGACCTCACCCGGTATGCTCAGAAGCAGATAGAGTCATCTCGACCTTCTCGTTCGATCCTAACCTCGAACCATGCCCATAGAATCCCCATCGAGGGGAGGCCAGCGGGCCACCTGAGTCGGTCTCTGGAATGACCCGGGCATCTGTCGGGAGGCGGGTTAAGGAGCAATGGAATGCCACATGAGGGCTATGCTAACCCCGTTACGAATGACGGACCCGGATTCCGCTCGAACGCACCCGTTAGTGAGCTCACCAAGCGCGTCACTCGAGCCATCGAGGCAAGCGACGTTAGCTCAGCCCCTCCGGTTACGAAAACCGCAGACGGGGTAATGCACAGAACTAGACCAATCCCTACTGAACCCAATGGGGCTCAGGGGCTTAGGTCGCCCGACGTCGACTCGGGAAATCAACCGACCGTGCAGGTCGTGGGCGGTACAAACACGGGCGAACACCCCGAACGGCAGAAACACAGGAGTCTGCGGCCCCAGGAAAGAGTACCAAGATGCTTAGCCTCCAACCGACTCACTAGTCGGACGCAGGCTCGGGGGCTACACCCACCGAGTGAGGCCACAGCACTGCACCGGGCAAGTCAAAAAAATCCCCTAGACGATTCTACCCGAATCGCCTGGGGCTCGGGTTACACCACCGGAGCGCTTCAAGCACCTCACCGGCAAAAACGAAAATCCCCACACGATTCTACCCGAATCGTCCGGGGGCTCAGGGGCTCCTGTCAGGTTCATAAACCTAGGGTCCCTAATGGGCCTGCTTCCCAGCAAAAGCTTGGTCCAGTAGACGATATTACAAACAACGCGCAACTCCTGGGCCGGCCCAGACACCTAACGACAGGCCGGAAGAGCGATTCAGTCTCCGACTGGAAGGTGCCGCCAGGAAGGGGCGACGCCGCTTCGACTCCGATCCAGCCTCCGACCGAAGGCTCGCCTGAGGAGGCGCGACGCCGCTCGACTCCGACCGCTTCTCCGACCGCAGGCGCTGGCCTGGAGAGGACGCCTCGCCCAACTCCGACCCGCTTCTCGACGTAAGGCTGGCCAAGGAGGGCGACGCCGCTTCCGACTCCGACCCGCTTCTCCGACCAGAATACACTAAACCTCGCTTACGGCTCTTCTCACCGACGTGGCTGTCGGAGCCGATTCGAACGACCGGCCGGGGACACCCGCTCGGTGAGGACTTGAGAAATTAGGCGAAGCAGATAAGGTAAGACGCTCAAGTCAACCGCAATACCGAGGACCGTACCCCGCATACCTGCAGGACAGTACTTTCGGGTCATATCAGAAGGGTACTGTATAACCTTCCAGACATGTCAGAACACGAACAGTGTTGTGGACGCCGACATTTGTCCTACAGTATGGTAGGCGCCGACATTTGCCATACCAGAAGAACACGATGGAGCCTACCATATGCATCTGGGCGTCAATAGTATTGTGGGCGCCGACAAACCGTCTTGTACCCGACGGCGTGGGCAACAAGACTAGGTAGCACACACACTCTCTTTCTCTCACTCTCTCTCTCTCACACTTGTAAGGCAGTCCCCTTCATCTATAAAAGGGGATGCGCCCTCTCCCAACGAGGAGAGAAAACACTTGCAACATGAAACACTCGATTGCAACATACATTTGAAACAAATGAAACATTTAGGAGATACGCTTGCAACATATGTGTGAAACATATACAACATCTAGATAAAACAACTGCAACATGAAAAACGCTTACTGCAACATAAGATTAAAACAGCTGAAATATTTGGAACATACTGTTGCAACACATGTGAGAAAACATATGCAACATCCAGATAAAAAACGATTGCAACATACGTCTGGAAACAAATGAAATATTTTGAACAAAAGTTTGCAACATGCTTCTGAAACACTTGCAACATGTGCAACATCCCTCGATCTACTTTTGCAACATCCATAAGAAACAACTGCAACATACCTTCTAATGAGCGACGGTGCATGAGCACCACCACCACCAGTACCGGTCCTGGCTCGGCGGCGACGGTACGGGATGGGGGGGCGAGGAGCGCCATGGCCGCCGGGGTGACGGGAGCTCGGTCGCCGGGGCGAGAGAGGGCGTCGCGTCTCGGTGGAGAGATGGCCACTCCCCTACAGGACCGCCGCGCCACCTATATGGATCTCGCTAGGGTGGGGGAGAGGGTCGCCGGATATGCAACCGTTGGGGGCTCCCGATGGGGGGAGGAGATGCGGCAAGGGATGAGGAGCGCAGAAGGCAGGCAGGAGCGGAGCGAGCCGCGCGGAAGTTGATTATGTTTTTTTAGGCGAGTGGCGCATACGACAGTGAGTGAAGTGAGGCATCCGGACTTTTGGACAGCTTAGTGGTAGCATTACCGAAAACAATATTAGCAATGAAATAGTCACAGCTCTTGCATTATGAGTGCAACAAAAAAGAGGTGCATCATTCAAGAGAACCACAAGTTCACGGAAAATTCAGCTCTGCCTGTATTTTGTTCAAATAAAGTAAATCGGTAAATAGACAAAATGACGGTAAGTTCATTATACTGGGCTCCCTTGCATTTTGCAATTAGAGGACAAGAGACGCATAAAAATTCATGTGCTGTCATGCCATTCATCTCACAATACCAAATCCACTCGACATACACACAAATTTCAGCGGCAGGGAAGGCACCTTCCATAATTCTTATGTTGGCACCGATCCAATTCATCGCCAGTCAACTATGAAAAAATTTATGTACCATACTGTCAACAGGATGAAGATGTTCTTATTTCATATCCCTTCATTTCGCATGTACAAGGGTACACAAAGACCTATAGCCAGAGTCCAAGGACCATGGCCGCAACAAAGTTTAACTTAGGGGGGGAAGAAAGGGAGGTTGGAGGAGGGCAATGGCGCCATTTTAACTTAAAACTTAACTCTGGAACCTCAAACAGCTGGTAAACGAACTCGACTCAGGTACACAGTTTTAATTACACCAGGCGGAGGGGATGACAGCCGGGCCGGCCACGGCTACTGAGGGGGGAGGAGGAAAAACCCGACTGGATTTGGGGCCGGCCAAGTCGCGCAGACGCACATGCCATGGGGGTGTACTATGGCGGCTGTACAATATGGCGCAACTGTGATCCTTCTGATTTTATGGCGCGGTTGTGATCCTTCGGATTTTATGCTCTCGCCATCACATGAAGTAGCTCAGCGCTTTCTTCTTCCTTGACCCGCCTTCACCATACAGGTCATTCCATTGATGAAGCTCGTTCATGTTTGCTGAATCAGACGAAACGCTCGCACAAACCTGCAGTGAGTAAAAAGAGGTTAGGATGCTGCTCTAGAAACAAGAATGTAGGTTGTAGTAGGTTGCAGCTCTAGAAACAAGAATGTAGGTTGTAGAGAAAGTCAGGAGATATGAAATGGAGGCAAATTTGGTGTTCTCACCTGCTCATGGGCAGATTTGAAGTCATCTATGCTAAGAGGACGGATGTCCTCGCTTCCATACAATGCAGGCTCTGGCCTACCTTCTGTTTTAGCCAAATTCTTCTCCTGCACACAATGGAATTGAACCCAATATTCATGATTTAACAGTAAATGCATAATTCACACATCACTGCTCCCTGCTGCAAAGGATAATCGTACTGCCAAGTGCAAACAGCGCAACCAAAAGCAGAGACAACATTGTGTACCTTCTTTTCCTTCTCCAGAATTTCTCGAATGGGATAATGCGCTGCGGTCACACACAGATTCTGAAAGCACAAACTCAATGAAAACCATGCAGAGGGTTTCTAGCAATTGCATGCATAAAAAGCAAACATACCTTAAGGTCGCTTCCTGAATAACCATCAGTCATATTGGCAAGCGAGTCCAGATCAACATCCAATCCCAGCTCTTCTTTTGCCAAAATTACTTTTAGAATTTTCTCTCTATTTGATGCATCGGGTAAGTTTACCATTAACCTGAAACAATTGAGTAAAATGCTGATAAATATGGAACCAACAGCAATTTGATAATCCCACCTAAGCAAACAAAACTATTGCTACCCAACAGCAACAATTAGATAATCATGGCCCACTGAACAAAACTACAGTTACCCAATTGGGTAATCCCGCCCATTGAATGGAACAATATTCACCTGCGGGGGAACCTCCTAATCACAGCCTCGTCCAGATCAAACGGTCTATTTGTAGCACCAAGAACAAGTACACGCTCCTTATCTTTAGTGCTAACCCATCCCAATTTACCATAAATTCATTCTTCATCTTTGCGACGCTTCATGCTCCCCTGGATTTTCTCTCCTTCCTAGCATACTATCGACCTGCAGAAAGTCAAAACAGTTGGTATACACTGTACCGATAGTGGTTACTAATGTAAACTTCAGCGCTTGCATACCTCATCAATAAATATAACACTGGGGGCTATTTTACTTGCTAGTGAGAGAAAACAGCCTTTACATACTTCTCTCCTTCACCAAACCACTGAAAGTAAATGAACCAATGGTTAGCCTTGAGACACTAGACCTCATCAGTTGCCCATTAGGTGAAATGATACCTTCGATGTAATGCTCGACATTGATATATTGATGAAATTTTAGCACCTGCTTCAGTTGCTACTGCTTTGGCAAGCATAGTTTTCCCAGTGCCAGGAGGTCCGAAAAGCAATATTCCTTGCAAGGCTGCAATGAATGAATTGAGGAGGCAGTTATAAGATCATGACCATAGTAAATCAAGATAATCTACAAATGAAGTTTTAAAACTCCAACATATCTATGATTAACTAATAAACTAAGTAATAACACATTATTAAATAAGGAATCACTGGAAGCCAAGAGTTCATGTAAAGAGTCAGCTCGTGACATTTCCATCAGGCTAGACACAAACTAATCCATAAGCCTCAATCTTAGTCTCCCCAAGTATGTTCCCGCTCTTTAGAAAGATGAAAAAACTTATAGAAACAATACTGCCAAATTAACTAGAGGACTAGTGTATTCAGATAACTCTGGAAGACCAAAGAAAACTGATGCTCCTTGGAGATTTTATCTTGGCATTCATGCAAATTATTTCACAAATATCCAAGCAATACTATGAAATGGCAAAATGGCATGACTGTATCTTAGCTCAGTTCAAAGCAAAATGTATTAAAATGGTTCTTAGATCGTGGATTCAACGCTTGAAAAAATATCAACCACATGGGCAACCCTACAGTTGGAAAGAACACTGACACCCCAGGTAAGCGATTTCAAGCATAATTAGGCATTATGATGCTACCTTTGTTAACTGCCCTTTGCAGAACAATTCAGGTCTTTGTAAAGGGAGCATCACCAGCTCCTTTAACGTGTCCTTTACATTCTCCAAGGCTCCAATATCATCAAAGGTAACTCCAATGTCATTAGGTGGTATAACATCTGCCAAAAGCCTTTTCTCAAACTCATTCTCTGTGACAACATCCTGAGAAAAAGGATTTATATGTATAGTGTTCAGCAACTAAGTTGAGAAATCACGAAAGCATGGCAATAAGTGGGAGAGTGTACCTTCAGTGATTTTTTGGAGCTCTTGTTATCACTTTGCATGCTCAGCATGTTGAGCCCATGCTTAAGGCTGTCAAGTAAATGATTCAAAAATCCACTGAGAATTGATTTGAAAGGAAACATAGGACAAATAGTTTTCAATAAGAAAAACTTTTTTACCTTTCACCTGTGAGTACAAGTTTAGCATCCTTGGAGTTGGACGTTTCAATTTTATTGTGCTTAAGGTGATAACTCACTGCGTACCCAACAATCTTGTCCACATCTAAGAAAGGTTGGAGGAGCAAAGTTTAAATTGAAATTCTTTAGATGAAATGTGAATAAACCAAAACAAAAGTACTTACTTTCATTACTCAGTGATTGGTCTTTGATGAATAATTCTTCAAGATCATTGCATTCAATTCCATTGCGGCTCAGAAACTGCATTACAGAGAAAGTGAAGAATCATATAATGGTCTGATTCGCTAATCATAAGTAACCACGGAAAGTAGAAGCTTAAAGTAACCATGAAAGGCCCAATGCCAGACATTTTGGTTAAATGGCTACTCCCTCCGTCCCAGAAAGAAAGTCGTTATGGGATGCGTGCAGGTCAAACTTTCTCAACTTTGACTAGGTTTGTAGAAAATACGTGCAACATTTATATCTCCAAATAAGTTTATTATATAATCAACGATCTTTCTAATGATACCAATTATATCTTATAAATATTAATATTCTTTTATATATAATTGGTCAAAGTTAAAAAATGTTGACTTCTGAGGAAGTGAGAAGACTTCTATTTAGGGATAGAGGGAGTACATCAAAAAGTTACTTCTATGAGGATATTTGATGCTTCCAACCATATTAACAGCAAAAGCATATATAGACATAGAATAATTGCATAATCATGCAAATGGTGAAAATATGCATTCATACAGAAACAGGCAACAAAGTATCAAACAGAAGAAATACTATCAAACACATGTAAATGGTCATTTGAGAATAATACACCCAGGCCATATTAGACAGGCATCACAGGCCCTTCAGTTTAGAGAAAGATACAGTTGACAGTGGGAAATATTAAGTTCCATGGGACAAGTATAATGTTGACTTCTATTCTGCAGCTTACCATGCGAATGCTACCAATATTTGATTTGGCTTTAAGTGTTTCAACATCACGATCCAACTGCTGCTTCCAATCTGTAAGCAGAGCTTCATCCTGCAAATTTAATTCTTCAGATCAGAAAATATACTTAATAACAACTAAATGAGTGTAGCAAGAGATACAATCACCTGCGGAAGCTGGATCAAAATTTTGTTTGGGAAAAGTTTATTTAGATGTTTCATTGCCTTTGGACTTTCCTTGCTTCTTTCATGCAACCTGCTACCAAAGCTATCCTGTATTTTTAATAAAAATCATATTAGTTAAAACAATGCAAATCAGGGAGATAAAATCAATATCATGGTTCATCAGACTACCAAATTTAGCCATGTAAGTACATATAAAAAACTTCAAGAAGAATAAAGAGTAAGACAAAGAAAATTTACCGGGAAAAGGTCAAAAAGTGTCTGGCTGCTACTGGCAAACTTTGTGAAAAGAAAACCTCCAGGATGCGCCTGCAAGAAAGATCACTTCACCATCTTAGCAAACTTTTGCTAGAATTGAAGAGAGGTAACTGATAAAAATTAAAGAAGGGTTAACAGGATATGCCAACAAAGAACCCCTGGTGTGGGGATGTGAAAAATCACAGCAATGCAAGGTAGAAAAAATAACTCAGCCTTGTTCATTTACAAAATGAATGCAGGAACCAATATGCCAAAATAGCATCAGAACTTGAAACCTCCACAATCCAAATTTGTCTAGTTTATCAGGAATAATGCATGTACCTTCTCTTTGCGGCTGTCCATCTGGGTGTGGGATCCTATAACAAGAACACCAGATGGAAGCAATTCAAGTTTGCTCCTCAAAGATGAAAGTGACTCTGTAACTCCAGTGAATGATTTCTCTACATCCTTAAGTAACACTATCAGAGGTCCAGCTTTGTTCTCTTCTGAAATGACCTGACAGGAAATGAAAATCATACTATTATACAGAGTGCTAACTTCATATTCAACAGGATTCCTTGTCCTAAAAAGCAGCAGTACCTCTATTAACTCGGTCATAGCTAGCCTCTCAACTTCTTCACCAGCAGAAAAGTCTGGGCGCAGTAATTCAGCTGTGGAAATAATGTGTCCTCAGCAACAAATAAAGAGTTCAAATAACTGCCAAAGAAGTTGAGGAATTCGGAAGTTTGAGCTAACCAGAGCAGAAGAAGCCATGATCTTCCTCGCACAAACCGCCAAGATCATTACCATCAAGGATCTGCTTGTCAAATCGGACTCCAATTTTTGAGGATCCATTATCTTCAAAAGCAAGCATCACTCTGCCTCGATAACCATAACTTGGTCCCCTGGAGATCAATCAAACAATTTATAAGAATAAATGTATGTATTGAATGAACATGGTTGCTAGAAAAAAAATGTCATCAGGAGAAAGAATATCTCATTTTCCAGGATTGTAAGTACAAAAGCAAGCTCATAACTGGGTTCCCTATGAGAAGTCTCATATTCCAGTTATTCCTCTTCCTGTTTAAGAGGCCTACTGAGTACAAACACGAATTCCATGGGAAAAATGTTTCATCCAACCATAGTAAACTATAGTTTGTAAAGACTATCTGACGGATGGACACCAAATAAAATGTTTCTTTCAAAAATGATGAAGTGTCAGGTGCACAAGCATAATTGGTGGATATGTTATCCCAAACGGTGAACAGTCAGTCACTTGTCATTTAAACTAGAAAAACGGCTGTTAAATGGGCAAAACAACCAATTAAATGGAAACGGTGTACCACCATATATCGTTTAAACGGTTTGTAAACGGTCTAAACGATCGTTTGGGCGAACAGTATTTCACAAACTCAATCTTAGTCTGTCAATATATGGCAGCGCCCAAGCAACAGGTGGTCCCACTTCGAATGGCTTTTTGCCGAGTTCAGCTTGATAAAAGGAAAAGTTATAGTGGGATGGGCGAAAACCCACCTCCAACTTGTAACACCAAGATTGAATCCAGAGGACAAGATAAGATTTTGTGCAAATGTTAATTGATATCAGTTGGTAGCGCATTAGTTCATACCACAAAGACTATATAAGACCATAAAATATCTCTCGTCAGAACTCATACCGATAGAATGACAAAGGTCATTAAATATCCATTTTATACAAAATTTAAGGCACAGATTATCTGTCCCTGAAACTCTAATACCACTAATGATAAACTTCCTTGCAGTACTAAAGCATGCATTGCCTACTGGAACAAAATTCTGATGATAATAATGTAGAAGCCTAAGGAAGTAAGGAACAAGCATTGGATACATCTGAAGACAGGAATAATATTTGCAATCAATGTACCTTTGTGACAAAGAGGATGGCTGAGCTGGACCCACATAACGCACCCTATCACCTACAGAAGATGTGGAGGAAAAATCATGTTTTGAGAAAAATAAAATTCAATACAATAAGTAATAAAGAATAGCTAACAAAACCTTCTCTGAAAGTATAGCTCTTGGATGTAGCTGTTGACGATTCCTGTTTCGGTAGAGGAGTGGATGTTCCCACAATATCAGCATTCACACTGGAAGTTGGTGCAGCTGGCCTCCTGAAGTGAACAGTGTCTGCCAACGAAGAACGATGCTTCTGATATATTGCAAACTTCTCGGCAGTTGCCTTATCCCCTGATTTATCAGCCTTCCCAACATCTTTCTGGGATTCTGGATCCTTGGAAGGTGCCTACATGGATTTCTTGTTCAGAATAGGGAAATGGTAATGGAACATGCAATGATTCAAGGTTTCTTAGCTTCTGAATATTCTTTAGCAGTAAATAAATATACATGATGAGCTTACCCCAGGCAGCAAAAGTGAATCCACGACAAGGAGTCTAGCACCAAAATGTTTGGCAAGTGCCTTTACCAATGTTTCCTGATAAATCTCGGAACCTAAATGCATCGCCACAGAAAAATCAGAGGAATACAAGAGCACAAGCACTGGGATAATTATCAAACAAGTATGGTCACTAGCATTATTCGAGAAAAGTATGGCAACTGCCATAACTGAAAGAGGGGGGGGGAGACCCAGTGCCGGAGGCTCCCACATGAGTGGGGTCTGGGGAAGGGAAAAACTGAGGCAAGCCTTTCCCCCGCAAAATCTACGGAGAGACTACTTCGAACCCGTGACCTGGTGACTCAGTGAGACAGCTCTCACCACTGCACTAGGCCTGCCCTTCAACTGCCATAACTGAAGGCCTAGTGAAAAAAAAGGGCGTACCCAGTGCAAAGAGCTCCCGCGCTGTGCGGGGTCTGGGGTAGGGTGTCAGTGGCAAGCCTTACCCTCGCCTGTGCAATGCGAGAAGACCCATGATCGAAACCGGGACCTTCCGGTCCACAAAGTGTAAGACTCTACCGCTTGCACCAGGCCCGCCCTTCAACTCAAGGCCTAGTGACTCCAGTTTAAATCACTTGGAAAAAGTAAACAACAAAGGAAGTACAGGTCTCCAAACAGAGACAAAGTATGGCAACTGCCATAACTCAAGCCCTAGTGACTCCAGGTTAAATCAATTGGAAAAGGTAAACAACAAAGGAAGTACAGGTCTCCAAACAGAGAAAGTAAGTACCTGCTGGACCAGATAACAAAATTCGCTGATTTATTGATGAAATCTCAGCAAACTGCTTGATGAATTCCTTCTTTTCCAAGTGTATGAATGCACATGATAAGAGCACATTCTTTGTATTCTCACTGCATGAGATGAGAACCGATAAATACAAAGATATGGACATGTGACGACTAAAAAGAAATATCATGCTGCATCCCAAGGTTGGTCTGCAGACAGCCCTTACAAGGCTTTAAGAAAAACTCAACCAACCAATTTCTATAATCTAAGAACTAAGCATACACCATTGTTGGCAACCTCAAAACTAACCAAAGAAGAATAGACAAGTTGCCTTAGATTTTTATAATGTAGCATATAAATAACACATGCATATGCAAAACTTCAAATAGACAGCATGATAAGAATCTTGCATAAACAGAATAATGTCAAAGCAGCAAAGGAACACAAATCCAAAGCATATCACCTGAGATAATAAGGAAAATTCTCAAAGGTAACATCAATATCACTTGGATTAATAATTCCTTGTTTCATCCCATCCTTAAAGGCTTGACATCTACTTGGAGGCACACTGGTCGAAGCGTTAAGATCCCTGATGAGATCCCTCTGATCTTCAAGAGCTTTAAAAAGATCACCAGTCAAATCGAACTCGGATATAGTTGATCCTGTAATCATCCTCAGAACTGGCCTTATCTTATAGGTTGCAATCTTACCGATTTCCGCACCAAGATGAGTATCAGGCCCAAAGCCATTTTGTTGACAGGTATCATTCGCAGCAGCATCAGGGGATATGGGGGCTGCAGCGACATCCATTGGAGAGTCTTCAATGTTAGAATTTACCTCATTAGCATTTTCCCCATTCTCAAATTCCTTATCAGGGCTTACAGCACGCCCTTTTGATTTATCAGAAGCAGATGATGCCATTGGCCGCACTATTCTTTGGCTGTTCTCTCCGCCGCTGGAGAGGTACTGCTGCTACATCCTTCGGCTGATTAGATGTAGATGCCAACATCTCTGTACCAGCTACAGCTGAAGTGTCTCCTGTTCTCTTATCTGTACGGATGCGCTTTACGCTAGCAACGGGAGGTTCTAGAAGGTTAACAGCAGATGATGGCACCGTTTTAGGAACTTTGTCATTCAAAGGATGCTGAAAAATCTATGAGCCGGTAAAGGAAAAACAGGTAACATATATGACATTTCTCCATTCTCAAAGTGCATACTACAGTCATGAAGAAAGAGATGTAACTGAAGAAAAAATGTATGACTGAATGAACCGGAAATGATAAAAGGATACATAAGCATGCTTTCCGCATGAACTGAATATGACTTCATCCCCTCCTGTAAGGGGAACTTTTGTGCCTGGACTTATGGACCTTCCATTTAATTGGACCATACCCTTCTTCCCTAGAACTTCTAACTCACATGGACCTCCTTGCTGAAAATTAAACATCAAAGCCAATGAAATACTTGCAGACTAACACTTGAGAATGTTCATGCACTCCGCGGAATGAATATGAACCATAAAAACAAGAACATACCTCAAGGCGCTGCAGCTTGCAAAGCACTTTGCTAACAGGTTGGTCTTTCAGCCACAAATTACAGCTTTTGCTTTGACCAACAGAAAACTGAGCCACACTGATGGGATGGTGAGGAGTCTGTAGTATAAATATGTTTTCTATCAGTATTTACAAATAGAATAATGTTTCATGGATTGTTCTACAATCATTATGAACTGAAATCATAAACATCTACAGAAAAACATGCATGCTAACAAAAACAACCAACAAAGATTGACCTACAAGCTACTTTAAATGTGAGGCCTTGACCAACTACTAAGTAGTTAAAGTAGCACCAATAGATCCAGTGGTGATTGCAAAGGAATTCAAAAGATGCATCCCGTCAAGTAGATACTGATTTCTATAAGTTCAGGATATCAACATTACAGAAAGACATGTCAACAAAGACAAACAACAATGACTTCAATAAGATCGGATTTAGCCTACTAGGTACCCTTAAATATACATATCTACAATACATGTGACTATTTATTAACTGATGACAAAACCTTGAACATATGAATGTGTAGTGAAAACAGGTAACGGCTATGTTGGACAAGTTCCCTACAAGCTACAGAACAGAAAAAAGAAATATCAATGTATCCCAAATCAGATGCCCGTTGAACAGCTAAAAGTAGGCCCTAAATGGAGCTAAGCATCAACCAGGCAATCTGGTACCATGAATTGCAAATTCCCACAATAAAAAGCCTAGGCATAACAAATACTACCAGGAACTAGTAATGCTTGCCCCTGTTTCTAACGAGAGAATATACTGACTGAAAGAGCACAAGTAAACAGTATATACGGTAGTTAATATCCCAACCTAGTAAGCCGACTGTTACCCCCTTTTCCCTCCTCCCAAAAGCACCTTTTAGAACGCTGCCTAGCTGTACTCAGAACCAAGCTCTAAACAGCAAGACTAGTAATATTCCATGCTAAATAATCTAGCCAAACAGCAAGATGCTATCCGAAGACCAAAATTTCACCCCTAACACCTTAAAAATTGAATCTTTACAAAGCCCAGCATAAAAATTGCCATCTATAACTTCGATTCCTACAGCATATACACCAAGATTATCCAATAATCGGCTGCTGGAGGGTTGCCGTCAGGTCACCGCACCTGTGAGCACTGCGAGAGCAGCTTCGCCCATGGCGCTGCGGGTTGCTGTTGCTCCCGCTCCTTCCTCCTCTTCGAACTCTCGGCCACGGCGGAAGAAGGCTTATCCGCTCCTTGATCTGCACCAAAGCATCAAAACCCCATGAACTCGATTCCAAACCCGCCCCCACCAAACCCTAGGATCCCAAAACGCCCGAAAGCCGCCCACCTTTCTGCGCCACCGCCGCCACGTCCTCGGGCGAGCCGGTGCTCCTCGCGGGTGCCGCTCCCGCCACGGAATCCTCCTCGGCCCTCCCGAGCGCGGACGCCGTCAGTGACCCTGGGGACTCCGCCTGGTCAGGGCCACGGTTCAGATCGGTTAGCCGACAGGTCAAATCGGGAGGCGGCGACGCGAGATTCTTCGATCCGCGTGGGGGTGGCGCTCTCACCTTGGGCCGCTTCGGGGGAGGTACGGACGAAGAGGACGGCGACGGGGACGGGCGCTTCCCGGCGGCCGCGGCGGCGGAGCTCCGGCGAGTCTCCACCATGGCGTGTGCCGGAGGCGAGGGTTTCCTCTCGTCTCGTCACCCCTTCCGCTTGTTTTCCACCCCACCCCTCGAGCGAGAGGAGTTCTTTCGGCTTTTGGGGGTCGTCCTCCGGAAATGGTTTTGTTAAGCTTTTTTTGGGTGTCAACGAGAGGAGGGGAGAGGAGGGGCGTCTTATAAGATTTTTCAGATTTCTTTTTCTTGATGATGCCGTGATGATATATGAGACTGTGCTGTTGTTACTATAATAATTTGTTATTATGGAATAAATAACTACCATGCATATTTTGTTACTCTCTTCATTCAAAATTATAAAACATTTTGGCTTCTCTGCATGAGTAAATTTTGTTACGTACTTAGATATACAATATGTCTAGATACATAATAAAAATAATGTATCTCGATGATTTAGAACGGAGTGAGAACATAAGTTTGCGTATAAATTTGAATAGCTCAGTGATTAAGTCTCGTAGTTAAGATGTGATTGTATCTTTGGGATTTTAGAAACGTCTTCCATTATATTTTAACTTTTTAATTGAATCCAGCTGTCACGAGTCTATCTCTAGGCTTTCAAAATCACCTATCTTTTGATTTCAATTTTTAATTGGATACAGCTGTAAAATGGTATCTACAATGAACCAACCGCCAAAGTGTCGTATTGCACATATTGGTAACCAATAGACTTGTAGCCACGCGTGCCTACCAAATGCACGATCTCCATGTGGCACTTACTTATCAAACCACAAATGTTTAACACGGCGCTACACTAGTAGAGTGAAAATCCATGCACCACCTACCAGTAGAATGATGATCTCGACAAGGCACTTGTCAATAGATAGCTAGATCTTACTAATCGAACAAACTCTATATGTCACTCACCAGCAGGATAAATCATTGCATGACACCTAATAACAATACAAGAATATCTACGCGTCCGGTCAGCTAGGATAGTGAATGATAGATCGATCTCCAAGTAACACTTTCTGTAAAACAACTTGTATAGCATGTAGAGACAAAATGATCCTCGCATGAGATCCGTCAGCAGAACAAAACTACATACGCCACTTGCTAATGGATTGTTGTATACATGGCACTTGCCAATAGAACGGCCTCCAAGTGGCACTTGCCGACAAACAAACTTTATGTAGTACGTACTAATGGAAAGATCTTTAAGATTTTTTAGATTTCTTTTTCCTGCTGCCGAGGTGATATGTGATTTGTACCGTTGTTACTGTAATTTGTTATTATGAATATATAATATATAACTAGGACGCGTATTTAGTTACTCCCGCCGTTCCAAATTACAAGACGTTTGGTTTTTCTACATTCGTAGATTTTGCTATGCACTTAGCTATACAATATGTCTAGATACATAGTAAAAATAATATATCTAGATGATTTAGAACGGATGGACATAAGTCTGCGTATAAATTTTAATAGCTTAATGATTAAGCCCCATAGTTAAGATATGATCGAATCTTTGGGATTTTAGAAACGTCTTCCATTAGATTTTAATTTTTTAATTGAATCTAGCTGTCACAAATCTATCTCTAAGCTTTTCAAAATCACCTATCCTTTGATTCCAATTTTTAATTAGATACAACTGTAAAAGGTATCTACAATGAACCAACCTTCAAAGTGTTGTATTGCATATATTGGTAATCGATAGATCTCTAGCCACGCGTGCCTGCCAAATGCATGATCTCCATGTGGCATTTATCAAACCACGAATGTTTAACATGGCGCTAACCAGCGGAGTGAGATCCATGCACCACCTACCAGTAGAATGATGATCTCCACATGACACTTGTCAATGGACAGCTAGATCTTACTAATTGAACAAACTCTACGTCACTCGACTGCAGGATAAATCATTGCATGACACTTAACAATACAAGAATATCTACGCGTCCAATCACCTAGGACAGTGAATGACATATCGATCTCCATGCAACACTTACTGTAAGACAACCTATATAGCATGTAGAGACAAAATGATCCTCGTGTGAGATCCGCAGACAGAACAAAACTACATAAGCCACTTGCGAATGGATTGATCTATACATAGCACTTGCCAATAGAACGACCTCCAAGTGGCACTTGCCAACAAACAAACTTTATGTAGTACGTGCTAATGGAAAGATCTTTACCTATAGCCAACCAATAGAATCAACTCCATAAGACACATAATTAACAATGGACGATCTCTACTTGATCTTGAGGTAATTAAAGTGCATCTAGACCTTCTAGTAGGTTTTGGTGGTTGAATGGCAGAGCAATTAAAGGACTAATGAGTTTGGTGTGCCTTGGATATGTTTCATTGCAAATAATAGTATCAAACCCTTGTCATTTCTCAAATTGAAGAAAGGGGGAGCAAACAGAAAAGGCAAAAGAGACAAGGTTACAATGGCTATTAATTAGACCCAATGGTGGCTTGTTTGCATGAATGAAAAAGGTTGATGTTCATTGGTATTGCTGATCAATATTGAAGGATGAGTCGTTAGTCCATAATTAAAGAAATGGCAATGCAAGAAAACACAAGTGACAAATGGGGCAATATGAAATTCATATGGTTTGGTATCAAAGATATCTTGCTCGCATAGACAAAGGGATTTTGAAAATGCATTGATATTGATCAAGCTAGAAGCAATATGAAAGAGATGATCAAGAGCAATGGGAAACACAAAGAGAGATTGTGAAGGTTGCTTGCTTGGTTATTATCAATCAATAAAAAGAAAGATGAACAAGGACTTATCAATTCAAAAAAATCAACAAGGAAGCTTGTTTGATAGAAGCAAATATTTAACCAAAAAACATTTTATATATAAATATAATACGAGTGATTTCTTATTGTTGATACGAGACAAGATTGACTTGATGATGAAAAAAATAAGGCGAAGATAGCAAGGAAATAGATTGCAGGATTTAAGCTAAGGTGAAGACAACCAATGATTTGGCGATCAAGGTACCATGGCTAAGGTTAGTTCCTGTTTTGATTTGTTCATTCTACTCGATTTGCATGGTTATGTGTGTTTGTGGAATTGCTAATTGTAATATAAAGAACCACATCTCTAAGGTTGGTTTCAGCTAGAATTCACTAGGCGTAATTTACACTCGTGTTTGTTGTGTACTTGTTGAATATCCATAAAAGTGTGGGTAGTCTGCTTAAATATATGCCAAAGTGTAGATAGTTTGATTATCCATAAAAGTGAGGAAAATCTGCTTGAATATCCGTAGAAGTGTGGGTAATCCATGCAATGCTTAGATAATCTGCAAAAAAATATTACTAGTATGTTACAATTTTGTGCTTGAATTTTCAAAGAACACCTATTCACCCACCTCAATGTGACATCTTGGGCCCTTCAATATGTTTTTTCGAGACTAGTTGCTCGCTTCCATTCCTTAAAACCATTAAGCAACCTCTTTGAAGTAAGCTTGAGTCTGCAGTTTTTTGATAGACTCTACTTGTCATAAAAAGATGTTTTCTTAGTACTACAAATTCAATATTTTTATAAATACAATAGTAAATAAAACCGTTCAATACACAAAATGTTGATTATTCTATTATCAAAGATGGTCATTCCATTGAAGTAATTTTATAATAAAAATGGGCATGTCTCCTTACAAGTTATCTTGGTCCTGCTTACGCACAAGATACTTTTTGCACCCTTGTGTATAGACCCATCAACCTCCAGATATAACAATTTTATTTATATGATAATTTTGTTTTTATTCTATCGGGATAAATGGCATGCATGTTTCCTCTATAATATTCTTTTTAAGCTGGAACCTTTTTCTCTAGGGCATTTTTCTACTGACGTCAATTTTTTTTGTTACCCTAAAAAGTTTACTACCCATAAAAAGGTAGAGTGACTTAAACATAAGTAAGATCTAAGTCACTTTAAAAGCAGAAAAATGGTTTATGCCTATAACCGAGAAAAAAAGAGAAATTTATAGTTTTTTGGTAGGTTCAATTTAACATGGAATCTATTTTAGCAGACAAGTCATGACTAAGAAGTACATTTTAGGATATAATTGTTGCAGAGTACTCCTATGTTCCAATCATTTGCACTCACTCCTACAGTGTAACTCACAGATGGACATGGGTATGGGTGTATGCATAGATCCCCTGATGAAGAGATGATATTACGCACTTTCTTTGCAGCTGCACATGTGCATAACTGCATATATAATTAAAAATGGCAAATTTCTACAAGTATACAAATGTCTTGATAGGTGTGAAATAAAAAAAGTATCTTGTGGGTGCCTAACAATTATCTGAAGATGCCTTTTCATCCTCGCGGCAGTACCTGAATATGGCAAGGTCAACGATCCTCTCGATTGCACTTGCTTCATCTTTGTTTGTGGTGTGAGCTGTCACACAGCTTTAGACCCTGACTTTTTTTGCACACCAGCCCTCCATACGACACATAGTAGCATAACCACCCTCTAGTGGGTACAAACATATCCAATATAGATATGGTTACAAGTAGACATACCTTTTTCAAATCCGTTTTCCAATATGGATGGTGTCATCTATCTACGACAAGATATGAATGGCGTCGATATTATACATGTACTCCCTCCTGTTGTAATATAAAGGATGATCCAAAAGATAAAACAAGGAGTCCTCTAGGATGGGAGATACAAGAAGAAGTTTCTCAACTCCGCCTGCAGGGATGTTGGCTGCCGTTCGTTGGGCATCTGTTCTCAAGCCTATTGCTGAGTGTTTGCCTGTGCAATCATCCATACGAAGCGTTAAATAGGTTTGGTTTTTGAGATCTGGAGCTTTTTCACAACGTGGGCACAATTTAGATGAAAATCAGTTTTTGGATATATGTAGTGTATTTCAGAGTGCTTGTAATGTGTTGATGTACCCAGTTATTATCTAATATAATTCTTCTTTCGTCGAAAAAATAATTAGGATAGAAAGAGTAGTTCATTTGTTACTTTCCTTAATTAATGTTGTTTGTTATTCTATCAAAAAAATAATGTTGTTTGTT